TTATTAGTGAAAATGGATGCATCTAAATTAGAGACAAGAGAGAGTAACTATGGAGGTTTTAGGGAAGGAGAAATTGAATCAATTTCTAAGCTACAAAAATCCTAAGTTATAAAGAAGAGTTATTAAGAGAAAAAAATAATTCAATTTGGGTGAATGCATGGTTTTAGAAGATGAAATAAGCTTCATCAGTCGATAGCCTTAATTTTCATAATAATTGATCAATTTTTATTGTGTAATTCTTTGCTTTTATATTACTGACTCACTTTCCGATTTATTGCAAAATATCTATAACGAATTTTTTGTTGTGAATCAAATTGCCTATACGCTTAAATATGGAACATTAATCTCGCAAAATCTTTTGGTTTATCATCTACGATTATTATTAAACCAACTTAGTTTTTTAATATTTAATCTTTCATAGCATTCTTTTATCGACTAAATACTTACTTCTTCTATCTTCACTCAATCAATTTACATTAATACTCTCCATTGTTCTTTCATGAATTACAAAACTTTGCGAATAAAGATAATAAAAAAATAGTTGAAGATTCTACTAAATTATGAATTTCCTTATAATAGTAATAATTAATAACCTTTTTCAAAAATAATTTAGAAACTTTTTGGATTAGTTAAGACAAATATTTGAAATGAATCACTTTATTTATTGAAGTTTATTTATTTTAAGTTTATTAACAATTGTAACTTTGTTAGATAATTTAAAGAGAGAGTTTAAAAAAATAAAATGATAAAAAATCTTTTAAATTTTTACCAAAATTTTTACTATCTATTTATCAGAGCTCTAATATATGTTGAGATGTAAAATTAAATTCAAAAATCTTTAAAATAGTTAATTTTTTTAATAATTCTAATTGAGTAAAAAAATCATCTAAAATTTTTACATTTTCCATCAGATCCTATTATTTTTCAGTTAATAATATTCTTCATTTTTTCATATAAAATCAAAGTATCAAATGCTGCTAATATTTAGTTAAGCCAAATTCATTTTTTTTATCTTCTAATCCACAGAATCTTCATTATAACCCAAAAATAAATTATTCGTTAAAGAGGGAAATCAATTTTAAATAAAGCTGACTTTCTTTTATGAGTTCCTCTGGACATTAAAATTGAGTGATCAAAAATTATTTTACTTTCATAAAGCCAATTTCACAATCTCCACAGTTAAAATCTCAATAGAAAAAGCTAAGGGTAGTTTAAATTTGAAGAAAGCGATCAAAGTTAAAATAAAAATTTTTTTATAAACAAAACTTTTTTCATTTTTGATCATAGATGAATTTCAAAATCATTTTCATAAACCTAATTTTATTTTTATTATCATAATAAAATTTTTCATGAAGATTTTTGATCTTTTTTGTTAACTTTGTGATTTGAAGAATAGAAATTTTAACATGTTAATCATAAATTTTTTGATTATGAAAATTATTTATAAATAATCCTATTTTAATTAATGTATTGTGATTAATAAAATATATTTAAACAAGATTTCTTAATTACGTCAAAAGTTGGAATAAAATTATTTGGTGATTATAGTTTCCCAATTGAATTAGTAAGCTATATTTAGAATGAAAATTTACTTAATTTGAGTTTTCACTTTATAATTATAATTATTTCTATATATTTATCCTTTTTTGTTTTTTGGGAAGGGTAATTGATGTAAATGATAGTTATTTTTAACTTAAACGAAAATGAAATTAAAATTTATAAATTTAAAATTATTTTATTTATATCATTAATAATATTTATTATGTATTATAAGTATTTTTGAATTCAAAAGTATGTAGAAGGAAGAATTTAAAAAAAAATTTAACTTTATTTATTAGTATTAGAAGAAAGATTTATATTGAAAAAAAAATGTAAAACTATATAATTAATTGGTTTTTCATTCATTTAAATTTTGTCTGCTTAAAAATCTTTTTAAAATCTATTCTTAATTATTTTTGCTTTGGGATTAAGTTTTCCTTCATACTTACACGTAAGAACTTTATAAAATTTTCATCCTTCTCGTTCTTTCCGAGTCAAACTTGCAGAAAATTTTACTATGCAATAGAATACTTAACTATATCAGACATATGTCTTTATTCAGTTATGATATGTAAGAAAAGAATCAAATAAATTATTTCAAGTAAATTTCTCTTCTCAGTACTAAAAACAGCAAGATACACTTTAGGAATACTTAAACCAAATTACTTTTGGAGACTTTAAGCATCTAAAATCTTAAATGTATTTCTTTATATCTTTTAAAAATTTTTTTCAAATTTATTAATTGAAAGAATGGAACAAAAATTATCACAAATTTTTCAAACTAAATGCTACACCTTTATGCTTATTGAAATCAGCAATTTATAGAAAGAAAACAATTATTAAATCTCTCATATTTACTATCTTAATCCTCTTTCGAACTAATTCAAATCCCATCTTGTGAAAAATTTAATTAAAATTTTTTTAGATATTGAAAAATAAAGACATTCTAACACAATTTTAATTTAATATAATTAATATTTTTTTGTGAATCTATTCATTAATAGAGAATTTTAATCTCGACAATATTTTAATAACCAGATGATTATATTTATTCTTAACAATAATAATATTTAATTAATTAAAAATATTAAATAATAATTTTATTTAATATTGTAAATAACTAAGAATTGTAAACAATACTATTAGAAAGTTATCATGAAATATTTTGAAATATATTATTAAAATTAGAATCAATAACTTGAAAACAGATTTATCATAAGAAAATGCTTGGTGGGGCAGTTACTTGTTTTTACCTTTTAAATACTCTAAATATTGATTAAACTATTTTTTTAATTTGTTTATATTTTTTACAAAAAAACTTCCATTATTGAAAGCTATCAATTCCTAATTGAATACATAAAATTGATGTCATTAAGAAAATGCAAGCCCATCCAAAATATTATCTGATCTCGTATTGAAAATATGATAATTCAAAATCACAAGCCAAAATAGTAATGCTTATTAGTGTAAGTGAAATACTAACTTCACTAAATAGCTATTTAAAATACTCTCTAATTTATCCTCCAATTGATTAATATGACATAAAATAGACTCATTAAGATTGATAGAATAGTAATACTGACAGTTTGAAAAATTGGAAATTCATAGGCCAAAATTAACAACAACTTGAAAATGAGCTTTTTGATTAGAAGTATTGAATTGAAATTTTTATTTTCTTAATTCCATCAAAAATAGATCCATATTTAGTTTAAAATTTATTTATTATTTAAAGCATATTTTTTCATCTAAAATATTTTTATTATAAAATAGATGCTAAAAATGTATATTACCTTTGCCGCGCAAGCTAATCATGAACTCCATCTAATAAAAATATTTTGAGAATTAAGTTCAAGTATACTCCAACTTAGAGAAGCCAAGAATTTTAAACCTAAGATTCAGAATAAAATTTAAATTTAAATGAATA